AAAAAAAAAAAAAAAAAAAAAAAAATAAATAAATAAATAAAATAAAATAAAATAATCCATAGCAAGCATGCTAAACGAAATTAATGGAATAATCGAGATAGAAACAAAATGCACCGATCGTAGCTATACTGTCCCAAGTAATAAGTCATTATGGAGCTTACTTTAAGATTCAAGCTTTTGAACTCCAAAAAGGGTATCAATATCAATATGCTTAACTACAACTTCGGTCGACGATACATGGCGGCGCGTGTTCAGCTCGCACTAGCTGCAGTGCAGCGGGGTGGCGCGTGTGGAGCTCAGGATGTCGACAGTGCGACTGCAATGCTCAACTTTCAACATTAATTAAATTTGAACACATGTCAATCAATGGATTAATGTTTAATCTACGTGAACTGAACGTTAAAAGAATAGGACTTTCATTTGAATTGTTGCCTCCAATGCATCCATTCAACAACCATACAATTTGTATATGTGGATTTATTCAATTATTAATAAAATCAAAGAGTATATTAGAAAAAAACCACAAATTCTAATAATTATATCCATGATGTTATTTTTTGTTGATTCAGTTAATTTTTATTTATATCATCAAATTTATAAAATTATTATTTATTCAATAATTTCTCAGTTACAGTATGTATAACCACACAATAAATATTTTTGTAATTGGTTCAAAATAAAACAACAAAATATTAAAATTGCAATAACTCAACAAACAAATATCATGAACATAATATTTTACTTTTAAGGACATTATTATTGATAAATTTTGTAAATTTTAGTTGTAACTCATCAAATAATTATACTGTATTCAAATAAATTCTCAAATGTTTTATTGGATAAATGTAAGGGTGGGATTTTTTCAAGTTTATGAAAAGCTCAAAATTTGTGTCAAATAATTATCAAAATGATGAGTCATCATGTTAGAAAGAATGTGAGAAATTAGAAAGTGAGCTTGACAATGTTAACATTAATTTTTTACACATAAGCATGAAAAGACTCATAATCTAATGCATTGGAGGATATATTATTCACACACTTTCTATCTAGATTATGTGGATAACTTTTTACCCTTTCAAAAGAATGCATTAGAGATGCTCTTATGGTGTGTTTATATATCATTATATTGGCTAAAAATGAGTTTTTTTTTTTAATCATGGTTTATTTTGAAAAAATTGATATAATTAATTGTTAGTGAAATTTTAATTTTATTAAAATAATATTTAAATTAAAATAACTAAAATTAATGTGATGTAAAAGAATTAGATATATGATGTGAAATGATGATTAGTTAAAATTAGTTGAGTTGATAAATAGTGAACTAAAATTAGTGTGATGTTTAAGAATTGTTGGTTGGTATTATTTAATTATATTGGTAATGAATAGTGGGTTGTGTTAAGGTTGAGTTAGATTTTGAGTAAGAATTGAGTATGAGTTGAGATAATTCATAAACAAACACCCTTATTGCCGCCGAAAGACAATGTGATATGTTTGTGAAATATATGTTAAAAATAAATGTGTCCCAACGAATTATTGTGATCGCTTTAAAAACATTTACTAGTATCATATGATGATGGTTTGCATAATTATGAGATACTATCAATTGTTCTTGATTGGTGAAATTATTACTAGCTAAATATTTGTGAATCGATATTTGATGAATCTAAGTATGAAATGGGTACGATATATATGAGTCAATTACTCCTCCATGTAAGTTACTATATATTATGGATCCACTAAATAGTCACATGCGTGTGATTCATAACCTGAAGTTACAAGATGGTTTGATCAAATAATGGGTATATGACACGTAACTTGAAGTTACAAGATAGTTTGATTAAAGAATGGATGTATGACACGTAACCTGAAATTACGAGATGATTTGATCAAATAATGTGTATATGACACGTAACTTGAAGTTTACGATGAAACATTTATTTTTGTCAATAAGTTCAAAAATAATATATTGAAAATATATTCATGCAAGCAAAAGGAAGTGAAAAGGGAAGATCTTCTTGTATTTATTTATATATATAATTCTATTTTTATGCTATGTATATTGCAATTATGTTGTGTTATATTTTGTAAAGATCACAGATGTATGCATGAAGGTGCAAGTCGAAGTAAAAGAAAGAAGATCAAGGAAGAGATAAGAGGCAATATCTACTTATCATGTTTGAACCTCAAGTTTTTGAAGGAAATCACAAAGAGAAGGAATGTGGCTTGAAGAATACTTCACGCTTAAGGAGTCTTTATATACACATCTTGAAGATCAACTGAGGGCTGCTAAGATTATTATCATTCACATATTATTCGAGCATTTAATTGAGAATTTAAGTTTTTGTCTTTAGTTTTATTTTCGTTGTTCAACTCTTCAGTGTTCTTACACTATCGAAGAACTGAAGTTGTTTTCTTTTAGTTTTTCATATTTTATTCAGAAAACATTGTTTTTGTACTTAGGGATTAAGCACTGTGGTTTGCTTGAGGGATTCTAGTGTGTAAAGTCTACGGGGCGTGGCCAGAGAAGTAGTTGGTAGGATCGAGTATAGGGTTGGCTAAGCTAGAATGGAGTTATAGTTGTATAAGTCCAAACTATACACATGTGCATAATCAATCTGTTAATGAATGGTAGTGGGACACTCCCCGAAGAGTTTCTTTTATCTCTTGTTTTGTGCTTCCGCAATCATAACTTTTCTGGTGTTACAACACAGTTTGAAAACATACAAATACTTCGTGTTCTAACACAGTTGAGCGCACTCTACAGTTAATACCCACGTTTCATACAAGATGGTTATGAAATAATGAAAATAAATGTCATATGAAAGTGATAAAGCTAGTAATATACCCAGCTGATATGAATGAACTCGTGAAGAAAATATGTGCACATTACAAGTGATATGAGTTCAAAGTCCTCCTATTATATGTTGAAATCGAGAACATAATGGAGACTATATAAACTCCCCTCAAGAAATTCAATAATGATAACAGGTCAAAAATATGAGTAAAGTTTACAAGAGATCTGTTAAGATGAGGGGGAAATCAAGGATTGAAATTTGTAAATGATATATGCTGAGAGTATGCAAACCATAAACTCAATGATACTAATGGTAGTGAATTATATGAAATGATATGATAGTGAAATAATACGCTGGACGAATCGGTATTATGCAAATTGAAATTTTCCAAATAAGTGATGAAAGAAGGCATATACTATTGACGAAAAGTATGTACACAGTACAATTACATACAATCAATTGATAATTAGATACCTTAGTATATATGGGGAATAATGAAAATGAATTAGTGTCGACAAAACAAGTGAATAACGCTATAAATGATATTGAGGAGAATGAAATCAAATGAAATGTGAATATTAAAAACTATTGGCAGTAAGACCTTTGGATCAATTGATGATGAGAATGAGTTTAAGACTGAAAGTTGCACAAAGCGTGATATGACATATTATCATGCATACCATAAGTATATGATATGAATGAATAAATCTATATGATACTCGTACAAATTATGGAAAGATTATTATGATGAATTTATAAGCGTTGTACTATTTTTCCCTTGACTGAGGTTTCGTCCCATTAGATTTTCCTAGCAAGGTTTTTAATAGTGTACTCTTTTTCCTACATTAGGATTTTGTTCCACTGTGTTTTTTCCTAATAAGGTTTAACAAGACATATTCACGGTATAATGAGGACTAAATGATAAATGATATAATTCATCATGATGATGAGAAGAGACTGGAGTAGTTGTACTCTTTTTCATTCAATCAAGTTTTTTTCCTGTGGGTTTTCTTGACAAGGTTTTAATGAGGCAACACATGGATACCCTACTAAAGATGATCTATTTGAGGGAGAGCGATGTTATGCTTCCACAATGCTTGTGTTTTGTCCCACCGGGTTTGTCTGATATGTTGAAGCAGAGCAGTTTCTGATGGTCACAAGCTACGCTTTAATATGTTCAGATTAGATGTTGTTCCAATAAGTTAAGGAAATAGTCATTCAATGGGGAGTGTTATGAACCACAAAAAATTAATATATGCATATGTGATGACTATTTTGCCTCCGATGCAATTGTATTATTACGATTGTGTCATCAAAAGTTTTCTTATAAGTAAGAGCTTCAGTTAGAACAAAAATTGTACTAAGAGACCACATTCTCTATTTTATCTCTCTTTATAATGAAAATATTTAATTACATAGATTATAAAATTTCTAAAAGCTAATGACTTTTTTATTCGTTATCAAATTTCATTTATAATAAATTAATTTAATCATATTTTAACGAGTTTCGATTTGATATCCGTATTGTATAAATAATAAATAAATTTCTATATTACAAAATGAAATTATCTACTTATACTGATTAAAATTTTATAAAACAATATATTAATTCAAAAAGTCATCTATAAATACATTACATATGAATTAAAACGGTTAATATAATATAAGATGGATAAATCGTACATGTTGACAACCGACTTAAATTTTCAAGATTAAAGAGGAGGATTTGTTGATATTGTCTTCAAATACTTTTTTCAGCCCACTTTCTGTCACAATCTTAGCCCAACTCGGTACAAATAAACAATGACCGACTTCATACATGAAAGGACAACCGACCTATATGCGGCTACAAAACCGACCTCGCGGAAAAGACAAGAAATCGACTTCGTAAATAAATTTCTCTGAAGATTATCCGCTAAAACCGAAGTCCGAGAAGATTGAATTCCAAAGCAGGTGACGAAGCATACTCCTGATTGGACCACTTAACCAAAAAGTAATCATTGTTGACCCCCATTACCTTACAGACCGCTTAATTGAAACAGCTTAACATTAAATGCAATCTTATCTACCTCGTACGAAAAGTCAAACTCACCGTACTATAAATAGCAGAATTTATGATTGTACGATGATCTTTTTAGGCACATTGTACATGGATGAACAAATTAACTCGGTTATACATAAAAACCGACTTCCTGTACTATAAAAAAACAACAATAATACAATAATTTTTGTTTGCTTTACTTTAATTACACTTTGCTACTGTTTATTTTCGTTATTAAATTCCATACAACAACAATACAAATAAAGAATCTCATTTTAATAAATATAAATATAATGTAAATTTGTAAAATGTATTTAATTTTTATTTTCTTCCAAATGATAATATTTAGAGCTGCGGTAAAATCCTAGTAAAACAAGGCCACCCTCACTAGATGGGAAAAATCAAAGGCTCCTCTCCATAAACGTGCCCCCTCGCCGCGTGACTCAGCTGACTGACCACCACACCCTACACCTAATCTCGATTTTGACTCATCTCTGTCCGCCGGAAATTCATGCTCCGCCCGCCGGCGTAATTTAGGGCTACGCTCACCCCTTTCCGGACAAGGGCAAAACGATCGCCACGGTAATCTCAAAAACATGCCACGCCTCTCTTTACTTCTTGATCGATTTGATTGTTGGCCTGTACTTCCTCAAAACTGATAGTTTGCTACGAAATTGCGAAATTCAGATGAATGCGCAGCAGAGGAGTGGATCGGGTCCTTCTGTTCAAAGCCCTCGATCGCCGTCCTCGCACTCTCCATATTTGACCGTATCAGTATCGGATCCGGCTAAAATGGGCAATGGAGTCCAAGCTTACATTTCGTACAAAGTTATTACTAAGGTATTAATGTTCTGTCTTTGATCGTGCTCGGTGCAGTATACTCTACAGCTTTCTCTGTTAGTGATTAAAGTGAGTGTATTTGTTGAAAATTTTATGTTCATTCGGATGCCGTTTTGAGTTTGTGGTTCATCTAGAAGAGCAGTATATCCCATGTAATTACTCACCTATTTGCATGTAGATTAAGAATTGAGATTCATAGAATTGGTGCATTTTAGGGGGTTGTGTGTTTCCTGAATCTACTGATACATTTATGAGCATGTAAAGCTAGTTTCGGGAAAGTTACTAGAGTTTTTGTATGACACTGTAGGTTCATTGAATAATAGTAAGTTTCTGGACCTCATTCATGAGCTGTGTTGGTCTTGCAAGTGATTGATGTCTCAACATCCCCTATATGTGTCAGGATCTCAATTCTATGAGACGTCAGTTTCTATTGCTCAGGAGCCATGAAAAACTGCGATGAACACGCGTGAATCCAATAGGGCACGGAACTACGAGGATTGGATAATTTAATTATTATTATGGGAGAGTGTTGATAATTTAAGGTATGTTGTTCACTTAGAAACAAAAGACCATAAAATAAAGAATAACAAAAATCTGTGTTACTGCAATCTGGCTGTATCCACTGCAAGAGTAAGCCTTTGACTGTTTTGGAAGCAATCCACGACTTTTTCTGTAGACATCATTCATACTAATAGGACTTTCGTCCTATTTTCTAAATGTTTAATGATTCTAATGCCTGGTTTAAGTCCTTAACATTAAATAAACCTACTAGTTTATTGGAAAAACAAGTTAGCGTGACTTTTCCCGTAGCATGGCCTGTTGATCTGGGTTTAAATTTTTTCGTCAAATACATTGTACTTGTCTGATAGTTTACATTGCTAGCTGAAGCATCCGAGAATAGCTTATGTAGTGTTCGCTGTAATTTCTTGGTAAGGTAACACACGTTCTTCAATTGAATTTCAACATCTTAAATTTGAATTTTGCATATGCTATATGTTGATTGGTACTCATGTTTGACATATAATAGAGCAACCGTGATAGATTTGTTGTGTTGAGGTTGACAGTGAAATTAGTAATCATCACTTGTCCTCCATTACCGTTTTGTAACATGAAAAACAAAAATCCTTTACACTGGTTATTATCTTCATGTTACTTGTAGAAATCATTGTTTTTCAACCCGGACCGGCCCGAGACCCGGAGCCGGAACCAGCGCCGGTGGGCTATTTGGACTGGGTAACAATGGACCCGGTCAAAACCCGACCAACCCGGTCTTGACCCGGTTGACCCGGTCCCTATATATATATTTATAAATATTTTTTATATAAAAAATAAAAACTATGTAAATATATTGATATAGTAAATATTTATTGTGAGATACAATTCTTTTAATATTTTGATGTACGGATTTTATATACAAAATATTTATTTTTGTTATTTTTATGTATATTTATATGTCAAAAATACTATATATATACTTTTAAAAATTTAATATCCAATTCAACAATTAATGACCAGGCGATTGAGCCGGTGACCCGGTGACCACGAGACCTGCCCGATTCGATTTCTGGGCCGGGTTTAAAAACTATGGTAGAAATGTTGAAATTTATATGAATTACTTATGAAGTTGTGTTTCTATATGCATTGCTTAACGTTACATTGAGAGCTAAAAAAATCATTTTGGGAAGAGAAATACTGTTTTTTAAATCTTACATGGAAAATGTACCAAATGAATCATCCTATTATCTTGTTTCTAAGTTGTAATACTAGTCCAGCCAGCAGTGCATCTTGCTTGCCTCATTATTCCCACTAAAAGAAAATGACAGGAGGATGATGTTATCCTTATTGGGATCTTGGGTCAATTTTTTTGTGGATTCATGTCACTGCGTTAATGAAATACAATGAATATTAAAATGAGTTCTTATTGTAAATTAAATACAATTACTTAATACACTCGTAAAATAAAGACTCACGTTTTTCTATTCATGTTCTTTGCCGGTGATCCATATTTATCCTCTTGGGTTTCCTTTTATTTCTTCATTATGTGTAGGTTGCAACCTTGCAATTGCCTTTACCATATTTTGAAGAATATGGACATATTTGAAGATCGTGTGAAATGATACTTTCTCCATACTTTTCAAGTAAAATTTTAGACCTTCAATTGTGTTGGCACTATGTAATTATAAGGCGCATGATTCTCTGCCAAAATCTTCACACATTTCATAAAGATATGTACTTCCTAAACTCAAAACATTTCACATCCATTGGTTCATAATACACCAATATGATTGCAAATAGGCTCGTCAATGTATTTGGCATTTGAAAAATGACGGAATCATTTAAACATTCAACAGCATTTTGATGTGATTCAATAATCTCCTTTTTTTTTTTACTTATTTGAAAGATAATCTCCTTTTTTTGGTTTACTTATTTGAAAGACATATAAACTACATTATCTACAGTTAGAAAATCTCTAAATAATCTTAACCACAATCACTGACATATGTAAGAATATTTACTCGTAGTATTTTTCGCCATTATTGGGATTTGCAATATTTAATAATCTCCTTTTTTGTTTACTTATTTGAGAGCAGACAAACTACATTATCTACAGTTAGTAAATCTCTAAATAATCTTAACCACTGACATGATTTAGAATATTTATTCATAATATCTTTCACCATTATTGGGATTCGCAATATTTACGTTTCTCATAAGATATTTCTTTATCCTTTTATTCCAACATTTAGGTTTTTTCATACATATGCGCTAGATATTTGCAAAAAATATATATTCTTGCTTCTTTACTATGAGTGAACATCGAAAAATATTTACTATTTCATAGTCTTGTTTCAACTTAAAATATGTTTTAGTTTTGATTTGCCCCATAAAACACACATTGTTTATTTGGATGGTGAAGCAACAAGTTAATATATACTGAATTTAAATAGTCCCCATGTTGCTTTCTTGAACAAATATCCACCATGCATCTTGATTTTCTCTATTTTTTCAATATTTTTTTTTTATCATTTGGTGATGTTAATTACCACTTTGTCATCTCATATATTAAAATATATTTGACTGCGGTCGCTCCTATATATAGAAATATTTTATTTGGTAGTTATATTTTGATAAGATATGAGGATTGTGAGGGACTATACTACATATTGTCTACTTGAATGTTGCGAACTTGAATCTTCAATGCACGTTTTCTTTCTATAAATTGGATATTCATCTTTACGAGTATGGTGATGATGGTCAAATGCAGAACATAAATATTTGCATTTTTAATTCATTATAAAGAATTATTCTCGTTCTTTTCTCCGCATGACTTGCGCATGAACACATTATCAAATTAATTTGGAGTTAAAGTTTTATAGTTTTGTCGTTTGAAAAGTTCGACATGAACATATCTATCAAATTGATTTGGAGTTAAAATTTTATAATTTGACTTCTTGATTATGAAAATATGAGCATTTTCAACCATCTTTCTTAAAAATCAGTTATCATGAGTAGCCACATTTCTATATATTTTTTTCCTAAATTACTAATCTTGTATATGTTTTTGCTCGAAATAGTCTTGTAGTCAAATTTGGTCGATCTTTAACTTGTCGCTCGATCTCTCTTGTATACCTTTCCATTGAGATTACATTTTTGGTTTCTTTTCATTAAAAGGAACAAAGAATGATATTTTTTTTTTATTGGCAACTTGTCATATAATACTATGTGTGTGTGCGCATGATTTAGAATATAACATATGCACATACGTATAAACTCTTAGGTTATTGAACTATATATTTTTTGCTTCTGCTACGAAAATTGAAGTGCATTGTTATAAGAAAATAATTTAGATATATGGCAAACACCAAGCAAACAATACCATAATTTTAGAGAAAAATTCCAAGTATTAAAATGATAATAAAAAATGTTGTAATGCTACATATCAAGATAAAAATGTGAATGAAATAGCTATCATATTTAATAAAATACTTAAGATAAAGTAAACTCCAAATTTATTTAAAAATTAATGAAATTATACAAAAGATATATTTTTTACTTCAAGAAAACGAATATTAAATTTATAGAAATTGTAAGAATTCTCTTATTTACATAATAAATCTTGAAAATCAGAATAAATAGATAATTGAATTACCATAATATAGGCATAGACTGTGTTTGATAAGCATATTAGAGATTTTCTAACAACAACAACAACATAGCCTTTTAGTCCCAAGCAAGTTGGGGTAGACTAGAAATGAAACCCAAGAGAACCAATGGTAAGAGAAACACAAAAAGGGCTCAAAACAAAAGGAAGAGATTGGAGCAAAAGAGAAAGGAGCAAAAGTCACGGTTCTGGCACGTTGATTGCTAGCCTCCAAGCGCTCCTATCCACCGCTAAATCTTTGGAGATATTCCAATCTTTAAGGTTTCTCTTAACCGACTCTTCCCAAGTGAGTTTAGGCCGACCTCTACCTCTCTTTACATCATCGACCCGCTATATAATAGGTTTTTTCTAAAATGAATCATAATCAAAATACTATTCTAAGAGATTGCATTTATTTATATTTGATATTACTTTAGCCATCAAAATTATTTTGTTATATGATAAATTTATAATACTTGTCATTAAAATTATACTCAGTATGACTATTTTTTCTGATTTTTTTTAAAAAAAAGTATGACTACTTTTTTAATCAACATATTTATTATAAAAACATCTGTCCACTTTGTCATAATATTATACAATATAATATATATTTATTGATGTAATTAACCATCTAAATATTTGTTTTAATTACATACATTGAGATTATTAAACTTATATAAATCGGCATAAAAGACTCATCAACGAATTGATTTTGAAAATAATCATGCGTAAAATTATTTGGTATTGGCTTCAAGATTTTCACATCTTGTAAAAAACATTCATATGTTAGTATCATGCACATGGTCGATGATAACAATTACTTGATAAACACAATCCTAACTGATAACGTGATCCCCTTGATTTTTTTCTATTTTCTTTTCTTGCAAATGGAAGAAGAACCTCAGATAAAACCAAAATGAATAATGTACACAGGAAACCCCAACAACCTGGGTGACTGGGTGACTGGGAGGACAAGCGCAACACGTGCTGCCTAAACCAAACCGCACACATATATTTGGGATGGGTCAATTTTTATTTTATAGAATCACATATAGAATCGAACACTTGTAAAAACTAAGGCAAATACTGAAAATATATTATACAAAATCCAACACCTAAGAACACTAATAAAAGAAAAATAATAAAAGCTTTTACATAAATTTCGTAATATGTAGGTTAGTGTTTCTATAGGATTCTTTATCTTTATCTCTCTCTCTCTCTCTCTCTCTTTATTTTATTTTATTATTATTATTTTTATTAAAATGCATTGATTTCTTAACTTGTAATGCATAGCTTAGTATATCTATAAGGATTTTTTTTTTGTTTTTAAAGAATTTTTATGCCTCGAAATTATAAACTATAATTACAATTTTGCAATTAATAATATATAAAATAAAATGACTTTTATGTGCCTTCTCAATCACCTTCACGGATATGCTCGCATATGTATGCTGAATCAATTCACTTTCCACATGAATTTGTGGATATGTCTTCAACCGGATTCTATAACCAAATAATATTAACAAAATATGATTAGAGTCCTAAATATAAAATTTCCCAATGAAATTGAGACTCTCCTTTCCAATATTATAGATCAGGTGTCCTTTTCTTTGATATAATTAGTTTGTTTACAATTTTTCCATTATAAATATAATTTCTTTGATATAATTAATTTGTTTACAATTTTTCCATTATAAATATAACGAACATAAGTTTGTCTGTTCATTACAATATCACTCCTGCTTTTGTGATAGTATGAATGGAGACCTTTGTATTACAAACTGTTCACTTAATTAGTCTGTTACGTCTATCTCATCCGTTCTCGTTGATAACAATCGCAAGACTTGTAATTAATGGATTCCTTAGGAATACAGTTTTTGACAAGCTCAACAGCTATAGTTGGAATTGCCATGAGTTTAGCTATATCTTTTCAATAATCTATTAAAATAATGAATAACCTTAAACTTTTTTTTTTTTAATTTGTTTTTTGATTACTTTCGATCTGTCTTCCCATTTAGGATGAAAGTACCTTTATCTCATCATGCTTGAAATTTTCATTTTATTTTCGTGTTCGATATTGCAGTGACAGTGTCTTGTTTGTATTACCTAGTTTATATTTCCAGTCCTCAATGTAAATTGATGATATAGAAAATGATGTCACTTGATTTGCAGACAAACTTTCCGGAATATGATGGCTCTGAAAAAATTGTTATCCGGAGGTACAGTGATTTTGTTTGGTTAAGAGATCGTCTTTTTGAAAAGTACAAGGGTATCTTCATCCCCCCTCTTCCAGAGAAGAGCACTGTGGGTAATGTGTTGCACATCTGTTTTCCCTCTCTGCATCATTAGTTGTTTTATTTCCAAATTGGTGAAATTTTATATTTTTGTATTAGAATTAAGGATGCAGGAAAATCCTGGTGTTTCTGTTGTTCTATAAAAATATATTTTCTGAGTTGAACTCCCATAAATCAAACTTTATTGCCATCATTTAATTGCATGGAAGAAAATTGGTGTAGCAATCTATTTATGACTTTTTTTTTAAAAAAAAAAAACTTCTGGAAGATTAGTCTATTGGAGGAATAAATTTGACCTACTTCAGTACAACCATAAAAAAGACATGGCCAATAGCTTCCACATGTAAGATTTAATGATATGTTTTCGTAGTCCTTTGTGCCTGTGAAGTTTTTTGTGCACCCGCTAATTCAATTCATTAGCCCACTGTTGGGTGAATCTCAATTTATTATTATTACTGTTACTATTATTATCTGTTGCAATTTGCAAGCTTCGTGATGCAGCTTTGCATTTAATACTGGGCATTCTCCTGGGTGCAGAAAAATTCAGATTTAGTGCTGAATTCATTGAGATGAGGCGCCAAGCACTGGATGTTTTTGTCAACCGGATAGCTTCACATCATGAACTTCAGAAAAGTGACGATTTTAGAATATTCTTGCAGGCTGACGAACAGGTAATTGTGTAAGATGGAACTTCTGGTTTGAACATCTGAAACTTCTGTTCTGGAGGCATTGAGTCAAACTTCAGTGGTCATAAGTGATGTGGTGGTGTATCAACCATGTACTTTATGTTGTGAATGGTTGCCACAACTTCAAGATTAAGAGTTTAATCAACGCTATTCGTGTCTCATTACCAAGAGAAAGTATATTATGGGCCTCTTGCAAACGTTGGTGGGTGGGGTGGTATTTCAATAGCTCAATGCTCAATATATTTTGAATGATAGCGCAAAATGAGATGGTTTTACTGCTTATCTCTGGCTGGTTCTGATATTATGTAGTATTTTGTTTTTAATTATATAGATTGATAAATTTTGCCATTCTTTAGTTGGTTAGCCACTTCATAGTTATCATCTTCTTCCGTTGCTGCTATGTTTAAAAGGATTAAGTTATTTCATTGTGACAGAAGAAATTAACACTCTAACAAAATGTTGATTTTTTCATTTCATGCTTTTTACACGATACCTGTGCATGTGCATCACAATATGGGCAATGTGTGTGTGTGTATATATACATGTGTGTCCTTTTTATTTTTATCGTGATCTTGCAGCTTAGTCTGATTGTATATAATGTTTCTGCTTGATCTGCAGACAATGGATAGAGCAAGATTCCAGGAAACTGGTATTTTCAAGAAGCCAGCAGATTTGATGCAAATTTTCAAGGTATCTTATTTGCACTATAAGAATCAGTCGGTATCATAGTTGGATGAAGTAGCTCTGAAAATGCTGGATTCAGTTTTATAGATTGAATTGCCACCATCTTATAGAATTTCAACATGATTTTGCTCTGGCTGAAGGATGTCTTGGTTTCTATGCATTGCAACATCAGTATTTAAGCGCTGTTGGGCAGATAGTCTCATCACGGTGGTAAAAATATTTCATGTTTGCAGGACGTACAGTCCAAAGTAAGTGATGTTGTTCTTGGAAAGGAAAAACCAGTTGAAGAATCAAGCCCGGAGTATGAAAAGTTAAGGAATTACATTTTTCAGCTCGAAGATCACCTCTCTGAAGCTCAGAAGCATGCTTACCGTCTAGTGAAGAGACACAGGGGTATATCCAAACTTTAAGCACTTGCTACTAAATGTGGTGTTTGTGGAAATTATAGTGTATTTTGACTCTCCTGCCTGAGTTGGAAGTCATTAGCAAGAAATTATTTGATTTTTTAATCATTGTCATGTCTGTTCCACCAAATCCTTTCACCTCTTCTGTTGTTTCTTTACCATTTTAATTTTCAAATCCTCATTGAAAATATAGTAAACATAATATGCAATCTTTGTAATTTATTACAGAACTGGGACAATCTTTATCAGACTTCGGCAAGGCATTCAAGCTACTAGCCAACTCTGAAGGAAATGCTCTTGGAAAGGCATTTTCTGAGCTTGGTGCAAAATCGGAGTTATTGTCAGTTAAGCTGCAAAAAGAGGTATGGTTTAGCGTATTCTGAAATGATACAATCATTTGCATTATTAATAAGCCCTCGTCCATCCTGCTCTGCTTTTAGGCTCACCACATCCTGATGAATTTTGAAGAACCTCTAAAAGATTATGTTCGGGCAGTGCAATCTATAAAGGTGAGTTGATGTCCTCCATAATCTACCGAAGCACTGCATTTGTTTTTGGAGGTACCTAACACAATTGGCAGACTTGTGTTCTATCTTTCTAGTCATCTGCTATAGACACCATAAAAAAATGAATATTATGTGATTAGTGGCATGGAGAAGGTTCAAATGGTTGCTTTGTGGGGAAAAAAGATTATTGTCGATGTTAGAATTATTTTTCTCTGTTAATGACAATGATGGAGCCTACTGTTATTTCTTGGACAGGCAACGATAGGTGAGAGAGCAAATGCGTTCAAGCATCATTATGAACTGGCTGAAGCAATCAAATTCAAGGAAATAGACATGTACAGTCCTTGAAGTCTTAGCTTATTTTGCGTGCTGAAGACTTTGAATATATATCAATATATTAAATGAAACCTTTGATTCACATAATTTTGGTATTGGCAAAAATGCATTTTTTAGTACTGTTAGTTGAACGCTATAGCAATTTTATTCCTAAGGTTCAACTTTTCGCCTTTTGGTCGGTGATTTAATATTTAAATTACAGGGCTGAAATTGCAATAAATTTTAAATTATAGGACTATAATAGCTAGTAAAAAATCTACAAATTTGGGAATTTGTTGCAATTTCACTCTTTGAAATTGCAACAAAATATTAAATTACAGGACCAAATGGCGAAATGCTAAAATATTTTGGGACTAAAATTGCTATGGCATTAAACCAGCGGGACGAAAATTGTAATTTAGCCTTTTTGGTATTCAAGACATGCCAAAAATATTTCTGTTTGGTAGTCTTATCATAACTCTGCATACTCATTTTCCAGGAATAAGCTCAGATTAACACGATCGGAAAAGTTGGTCGAAGCCGAGCGTGAATACGAAGAGGTTGTTGCAATCACAATGACAATGTTTCATTTTCACTTCTCGAATTGTCATTATCTGGTCGATCTACATCTTTTTTCCTCTGATGCAGCTAAAAGCTGATGGGGCTGAGGCAGCCAGAAGATTTGACAAAATCGTGAAGTTAATGAATGAGGAAATTATTCGGTTCCAAGAGCAGAAAACACTCGATATGGGACTGGCCTTTCATGAATTCGCCAAGGGTCAGGCACGGCTTGCGAACGGTATTGCCGAGGCATGGCGAAGCCTTCTTCCCAAGATTGAAGCTTGCTCTTCCGCACAATGAATTGAAGAACTTTCACAGGAAATGCTTTTCGTATGAGAAATTTCAGGCAGGTTTGAGGTTTTGTATACTGTACAGACTGCGGATGGATATGATTATATGAACACCGAATTTATGCACTTGTAACTTTAGACCTATTATAAATGGGGCCTTTTTTTCCTTTTCTTTTATCTTTTGGAGTTACTATTTTTATGAGATTATTAAGTCCAATGTAATTTGATCGTCTATTTGTTCGATTGCTCACTGACTGGAAATTGTTGATTCATCCTGCAAAATTGACTGACGTAAGATTGAGTCAGAGAGATGATTGGAAGTTGTTGATTCATCCTGTTTAAGCTTATTAGATGATGAATTCCATGATTATTGATCGGAACTTGTCTGATTCAACAATATTTGGTGTTTCTGTTTGTACATTTCTTTCTTCTCCTTCCGTAGCCTGTAGAGGGGCTTCAGTATAAATGAATATTGTATTCCTTTTATCAACACTGAAAACAGAAAATTCCCATTCAAGTTGAAATCTTTGTGTAAATAAGACAACTCTATGTTTAATCATGTTGAAAAACTTGACCTCTACTTTTCCATTACACATATTCTTGTGTGAGATAGTCCGTTAGCTGGTTGACTCGTTATAGTCTGTATATTTATACTATCAAATGTCATATATTGTCATTTTTTTGTGAATATTTTTAAAGTATGACATTTTATATTAAAAATTAAAATAATTGTGATAAGAGTATGTCGGCCTAATAGTTAGGCGGATGTAATACAAGACTTACATTTACATTATCAGTTTTGCTATGGAGCCATCGGATGCCTCGACTTATGGAGTCATCTACACTTATTCATCAATAGTGTATTGACACGTGTCCTGCAATAAATACACTTTGAACAGGTGTCAATACATTAAGTGGTGGATGACTCCACAATAAAATCTTCCGATGACTATAGAATTTTTGTTTACATTATAACATTATCCCCCAAGATTACCATGAAAGACACCCACTAAATTACTAGGATACAAGCCTTTTATTTTGGTAAAATAAAGAAATTAGTTACTTTAATTATTGTCCAATCAATGTTGAGATGACAAAATTAAATCATGTTTTGTTGACTAAGCCCGCAGTCACTTAGATCTGTAACATTGGCTCGTGGTTACAAAGTACTCCCTCCATTTTGAAATATAAGGCATTTAAGGTTATTGCACAAATATTAAGGAAACATTAATTAATGAATAAATTGACTAAATTAACCTTATTTACTCTAATCACAACCACTCCACACTTCCTTAATTTCAACACAATGAGGGTATATTTGGAAAAAAATGCAAAAATTTGTCTTGATTTTTGAGCGCGCCTTATATTTCAAAAAAAATGAGAAATCTTTATACGCCTTATATTTCAAAATGGAGGGAGTAGAACACTGTCATATTTATTGGACAAAGAAGACTATAATTGCATCTCCAATGCAATTTTTGACATTGTAAAAAATCATCAATATCATCAACTTTTGAAAGTGTGCCTCTATTTTTTTCTCCAATGCATCTTGTCATGAACTCTCTCATGATGAGGTGGATGTCATTTAATGTTAGCAATGTTGAGCACACTTTCTAATATCTAACACCATGTTAAACATGATGACTCATCAATTTACTTTATATTTGTTTTAATTTTTTATTTTTTTTTGTATCAGTGAATTATTTAATTGGTCCACCTATACAAATAACTTCTTATCAAATTGATGCATTGGAGATACTATTTTCATTGAAATTTCTAGTCTTTTAACAATATTCCAATTTGAATTAACATTATAATAACTAATTGACATGTGTTAAAAATAATTGGAGATGCTCTAACTTAAAAATCAAGCAACTTATGAACAATAGGAGCCAGAATCGTCAAATGTCATCAGAAGGTTTAACTAACTGAGCAATTATGTGTCATTTTGTATTTCAAGTTTCAACCAACGTATTGTTAATGTTCAAAGCAGAGGCATTCATGTTGAAGTTAAATGTACAGGGTGTGGCGAAGCTGATGAAACCGTGGAGCATCTGTTTTTTAAATGCCCTAGAGCAACTAGAATTTGGAAGCTAGCACCGGTCCAATGGGAAAAATTGCCTTCTGAGCACATGAGTTTCAAAGAATGGTGGTGGTGGTTAAGTGAAATGGACAAAAAAGAAACATCAGTTGCTAGAATACAACTATCCACCTACATACTATGGTGGCTTTGGAAGGCTAGAAACTTGTGGTTATTTCAAAAGACTTGGCAACCGGAGCACCTTATTCTTAAAAATGCAGTATCAGATTGGCTTTCATTCCTCCAGGCTCATGGCAGTGGCTTTTAAAGCATAGAGATGAAGACTCTTCTAGGACTTATGTCAGTGGTTGTAGTACTCATTCTCTGTTGTATTTATGTTATTTCTGTTGAACCTCTTTCATTTTTTTTTATTTTTTTATTTTTTATTTTTTTTTTTTNCAAACGAGCTGTCATTGCGCCACGTGGCTAATCCTGAATGTGTAAAATTCTATCCACACATTCATCTCCCACACAAAATCCCTGCACCTTACAACAAAAATCTCTGGCAACAAGAACACCAACCGTCTCGAGCTCTTGCTTCAAAATCCATGGCGGCCATCAACCAAGTACACAGCATTACAAATCCCTCCATTACAAAACCATCACAATCTGGCTTCTTTATTATCATGGCTAGGTCGTCACCACCTTCACTCACCACCAACGCTGTTCCCTTCCTTAATCTCGCAAAATTATCTACCAAACGATGCTTAATTCCGTCTTCCAAGGCGTCCCCGGCGGACGCTATTTTGCCCACGGGCGCCGACGACGAGGATGGAGTTTCTTTGGGAACTATGAAACTTCCACCCGACACAGATGTTACTAGGTTCGAGACTTTGTTGTTTCAGGTCGCTCGCGTGAAATTCTAGTTTTTATTTTCATAATGTTAGATCAATTCAAAAACAGGGAAATCACTGTGTTTGGGATTATGTTGTTCCGAATTAAGAATTGTGGAAGCATATAATCGACAGTGACAATTCTAGCTTTCAAATTGATCAGTTCATGAAAACCCCTAATGGCAGCCCGATGGAAAATTCATTTCACCGTACCAAACAAATGTTGCTCTCTTGATTTTCTTATAATTGAAACAAATTTTAGGAACTAGTTTGCTGTAGTCACCAATATCATGGAAGTTTACTAGAATAAAAAATGTTGATCTCTTGAATTTCGAGATTAAAATTTTGGGATTTTACTCATTAAGTATTTGCAATGTATCTGACAGTGGGGAAACAGTCTATGCCAAGGTGCAAATTTGCCTCTTCCAGTGCCACTGAAGGTTTGTGACAATATCTAAGATTTTCCCAGGTTATCCAAGCAGTTATATTAAACAAAAGGGTTTAGGGATAATTTACCATAGTTACCCTTGAATTTTTCCTAATTGCCGAAAAACCTTTTGAATTAACAGTTGAGCTTTGTATTGTGTCTTAATAAGTAGCTACTGTGAATGGCACAGTTTGTAAAATATGATTTAACTAAAGTGGTTTTATGCATATCCTTATTAAAACCGTGTATAAATTGATTATATTATTTATTCAAATGAGCAGGTCGACAAAATCCCTGGTGGAGCTAGACTCGGTTTCATTACAATAGGAAATGGAGAGACTGAAGTTCTTGTGTACATAGACTGTGTTGTATTTCCGGGCTCCGAAAACTCTGGCCCAATGTTTCGGGCCATAAGAAATGGGCCAAAGAAAGCCCAACCGCCTCCCGGAGAACCAAGAATCATGAGAAGTCTATTAGATGCCTTGAGGAAATGTGTTGAAATAGCAAGACTTTAATATTGATTTTTTTATTAGAGTGGGATTTGTGAGATCTGCTGTCCTTCCTGCAATACTATCTTAATATTGAAAAAGTCAACTTTTATACCCCAAAGAGAATGCAGTTTCATGAATTATTCACCAGCACGGACCTTTTCTTTCATTTGACTTTGAAGTTGGATTGAGTCTTATATTTTTTAAATTCAAGTTGTAGTTGATGTTTGTTAGTCGCAGGTTTCAGACTCACAAACAAACAGGTTGCATTTTAATTATACTCTCTGACCATTTCCCTCCACGAGCAGTTCCCATGAAGATAACGTTTCCAAGTTGAATTAAGGACCAGAAATACTAGGTACTTATTTAATAATATACGAATAGAATACTAGGTAGATTAATAATTAGACATCCAGCTCAATGTTATACACACATATATATATATAGATGCCTATACATTTAAGTGTCATTTCAAAAGCATTTCTTGACAAGCACGTCGATATTGTCAAAAGGGTGTTCCCACATCATTGGAACATAGACATAATTCTCAAAATTACACCCCACATTTTATCTATTTCCATTAACTCAATTATTTGGCAATGGAAGATGTTTTTTCTGATAGTGGTTATGATGCTGTTGTTGTTGGTTCGGGATACGGAGGTTCAGTTGCAGCTTGTCGTTTGTCGATGGCTGGGTTTAAGGTCTGTTTGGTAGAGAAAGGGCGAAGGTGGGAAGCTCAGGATTTCCCAACTGATTGTTTCAAGATGATGTCAGCAGTGAGGATGGGATTTAGGAAGTTGGGGTTACAGTTCGGCTTAAAAAATGCTCTGTTTCAGGTATGTGCAATATATTTGTTGTTGATACTCTTCATACTTTCTGGTGCAGGCCAAAAAATTTTAAATTTATGCTCGGTTTGTAGCAAGAATCTAGTTGAAACTGTGATTTAAGTCATGTATTCTTTTTTTTTTTTCCCGAATAATTTGACCAAGAATGTGCCTGCACTCGTCAAAACTCAATTGACGTAGAAATCAGTTTTGCTNGCATCCACAAAATACTTCACTGCGCTGAAATAAAATATAAAGTAATCAAAGCGTACAAATCCATCTAAATAATAAATAAGACAAAAAAAAAGAGTACACTATTAAATATATAATATACGCACATTTTTCGACCTATCAGCAAAACTCACATGGAAAATTTCCTGTCAAAGGAAATTTCGATGACTAGTGATAGCTTTGGCCAGAAATGCGGACTCATGGGTCTCTGGACTTTTCTTCAAACCGCGAAAGAGGGACTAACACCGAATAGTAAACGAACAACATGTATCCTTTTTTGCAAAATGGTGATTCTTGCAGGAACCTTATTGCTGGTTCCCTATTGCTACAGAACTAAAACTTGGATCTGACCTTCTTGTGCATGGCAATATTAAACTTTTGTCAGAGATTTATTTTCAAAAGTTGATCTACCAGAAATTTGTTGGTCTCAGAACTTACTAAGTCTATTAGTTCACAACTTCTGATAATGCAGCTGCAAATACAAGAAGATGCTCTGGTAGCCACTGCATGCGGCCTTGGTGGAGGCTCACTGATCAATGCAGGAGTTATGGTGCCTCCCACATCTCGTGCGCGAAAGCACCCAAAATGGCCAAAGGCATGGGAAAAAGATTGGGACTCGTGCCAAGCTTGTGCTTTGGATATGCTGAGGGCTGAGACTGTTCCTATGAAGTTCCGAAATTCAGAGATTGTTGAGGGAGTCTTAGGTGAAGAGTATGATCAAAAGAATGGAAATCCGATCAAGCTGAGTGTGAACTTTGACGTGGAGCAGCTTCCGGATTCAAAGAGGTCTCCAAAAACCGGAAGCTGTCTAGCTTGCGGGAATTGTCTTTCTGGCTGTCCTTATGGCGTGAAGGGCTCGACTGACAGGACTTATTTGGCTTCTGCTGTGGAAGTATGTGCTTATTTTATAAGAAATATTAGCATATTTTTATTTTCGGGTAAAACATTAATGCCAACCTCTACTATACGTTGTAAATTGCAACCTGAACTTCATGAACTTTCATAATTTGCATGCTCACCTACTTCTTGACTATACGATCATCCGCAAAAATGGACATGTAGGCAAATATGCAAATTCATGAAGTTCAGGTTGCATTTTACTACAAAAAAAAGTATTGTAGGTTGCGAAAAACCCAAAAGCACGTATAGTACAGGTTGGAAAAAATTATTTACCCCTTCAAAATATTGTGGTTCATACTTCAAGTCCTCGACACATTGCTAAGAATTCGAATATAAGGGACTTATTTGGCCTCTACTGTCGAAGTATGTGCTTATTTAAAAT